GCGGGTTAGGGAGGGTCGGGGCTGTCCTTGGGCTGGGTCTGACCGCAGCCATCTCGATCAGAAGGTGCTGGGGAAAGCGGACCCGGCTTCCCTGCGGAACCTGACCTGAGGCCAGGAGTCACCTTTAAATGCAAAGGCGACGGAGGCGTTGAGGGGCAGCTTGGAGAAGGCGCCTCACCGCTGGCTCGCGGACCGCTTTGGGGAGAGGGTGGTTCTTGCTCGCAGTCGCGCTGTCATCACTTTTTGGGCTGAAATCACAGATGCGGATGGCCTTTCCTTTATTCTCATCATAAATAACAGGCTGCAAGTTTTAGCAATACTTGAATGGATGCATTCTTGACAATGAACAAATACAGGTGTCTGCGTTAACGATATTGATTAGGTCCCAACGGCCCAAGCGGAAGGAGGTGAACACTTAGCAAAACGATCAAGAACCCGTGGGAAAGCAGAAGCTATGGGCCACACGCACCTTAGTTTTCCAGAGTTGTTTGCAGAGCACTATTTCTTTACCGCGAATAACCACTGCTTTCCTTTAAGGACCATGCCTTAGCATTCTCGGGTAAAATATCTAAGGCCACTTAATGTAAGATTACAACAGCCCAGTGATCTTTGGGGAAATTGTTCTTATGGTGACAAGAGTCTAATTAGACTGTAAGCCTCTTGAGGGCAAAGGTGGCTTTTGATCGTTCTTATAGCACCAAACAGTAATTGACTCAGGGCATGTAATGAGCAGACATAAAAGTTTATTAAACTAATGAACTCAATTAAACTAATGAACTCAGAGGTGGCTACGCGAAGTGTGGCTGGATCATGACTTCTTGAAATTGCATATTTTGCAAGGAAGGACCCCAAATCTAAAAATCCTTAATAAAATCAGAATCAAGGTGTCATATAAATATTTGTTAAAATAAAGATAAAAAGAAATTGACTATGAAGAATCATGGAGGTGGCCGTGAAGTTGGTCTTGGCTAGTGGGAAAAAGTTTTTGCTGCTCATTGTTGAGTGAGAAGTCAGTTTGTCAACAGAGTGTGAATTTTGGTAAGCTTTTTTAGTAGAGAACTCAATGGTAGACTTTGCTGGCCACATGGTCTCTTTAGTATAATTACTCAACTGTGCCACTGTAGTTGAAAGCAGCCATAGGCAATACGGAAAGGAATGGTGTGGTTGCATTTTGTTTTATCATGGACACTGAAATATGAAGTTCATATAATTTTCACCAGTAACGAAATAGTCTTCTTTTTCCCCGGTGCATTTAAAAATGTAAAAATCATCCTTAGCTTGGGAAAGGAGGTGGGGGGAGGGGGGACAAAAACAGGAGGGGAGGGAGAGTTTTGTTCTGTTAGTAGTAGTTTGCTACTCCCATGTGACAGAGTTTGGAGAGGAAACTTGAAAGGATTGATGAGCCAGATTCTTCTAGTGACTAAGTCAGTGATAGCAAACCTATGACACGCGTGTCAGAGGTGGCACGCGAACTCATTTTTTTGGTTGATTTTTCTTTGTTAAATGACATTTAAATATATAAAATAAATATCAAAAATATAAGGCTCTTTTACTATGGTTGCAAATATCAAAAAATTTCTATATATGACACGGCACCAGTTAAGTTAGGGTTTTTCAAAAACCTGACACGCCGAGCTCAAAAGGTTCGCCATCACTGGCCTAAGTCATACCTAGAAGTTACATTAAATGTCTTCAAGAGTAGCATTAACTTATCTTGGGAATTACAGTGTTTTGTTTTGAATATTACCTAATGGACATCGTTATGCATAAGGTTTCATCTTTAATTCATTAATTATGTAATATTTCATACATAAAAATAATGTTTTAAGTTTATGTAAGCTACAAGCATTACATTCAGATGACCACCTGTGATCCCATCACTCAGCTTTAAAACTAGGACTTAACCCCTTCCCCGGCAGAAACGTGTATACTCATTTTCACAAAATGTTCTTTTTCAGTCGTCGACGAGTATACTAAGAAAATATGGTAAAAAAAGATGGTTTATAGGAAGACGAGTTACAAACTGTTTTCATAACCAGCATCAAAAATACTATATAGAACCAAAATTAAAAAATCAGTCTGAAAAATAAACGTTTTTAACAAAAAAATTGTTGGGGAAGGGGTTAAGAACTAGATAATTGTAAAAAGATAACTCCCAAAATGGAAGAAAGTATTTTAAAATCATATATCTGATAAGGACTTTGTATCCAAAATATAGAGAGAGCTCTTACAGCTCAATAATCAAACGATAAATAACCCAAAATAAAAATGGTCAAAGGATCTGAATGGGCATTTCTCCAAAGAAATGACCCATAAGCACCTGAACAGATGCTCGGCATCCTCATTCATCAGCAAAGTGCCAATCAAAACCACGGTGAGATACCACTTCGCACCCATTCAGATGGCTACATTCAAAAGTCAGATAATGACAGTTGGTGAGGATGTGGAGGAATTGGAAGCCTTATGCACTGCTGGTGGGAATATCAAATGGTACGACTGCTTTGGAAAACAATTTGACAACGCCTTAAAAGTTAAACAGAGTTACCATATACTAAAGCAATTTCTTTCCATATATATATATATCTCCAAACGAAATGGAAGCATATGTCCACATAAATCCTATATACAAATGTTTATAGCAGCATTATTCATAATAGCCAAAAGGTGGAAACAACCCAAATGTTCATCAGCTAATGAATGGATAAATAAAATGTGGTTATATCCATACAATGGGATATTATTTACCCATAAAAAGGAATGGGGTGCTGATACATGCTACAATGTATATGAACCTTGAAAACATTATCCTAAGTGAAAGAAGCTAGTCACAAAATATCACACATTGTATAATTCTGTTCATATGAAAATGTTCAGAACAGGGAAATCTATAAAGACAGAAAGTCGACTAGTGGTTACTTAGGGCTGAAGGTTGGAGTTAGGGAGGGTGTAGTTAAAGGGCACAGGGTTTCTTTTTGAGCTGATGAAAATGTTCTAAAATCGACCGTGGTGGTGGTTGTACATATCATTGAATTGTACACATCAAATGGGTGAATTCTATCTTATGTGCGTTCTCTCTCAATAAAACTGATAAAGAAAATAAACAGAAGGCTAGAAAAAAAGACTAGATTTTTACCTATGCTGTTGCATCTTTCTTTGTGAGCTTCTCCTATGCCATTCCCATTCCTTCCCAACCCTGAATTCTGTGTTAATCATTCCTGTACTGTAAAACAGTTTTATGACATATGTATGTATGCCTAAACAATATGTTGTTTTGGTTTGCTTATTTTTGATTTATAAAAAGGGTATGTATAATATTCTCACTTTAAAAAATTCAACATTATATTTTTAAGAATTATCCAAATTGTTGTATGTAGCTACATAGTATTCATTGTTAGATATTCCATAATTTATTTACCCATTCTCTTATTGATGGGCATTTGGGTTGAATCTTTTGCTATTACAAAGAGTGTAATTTGAAAACTTTCTTTTCATGTCTTTGCACACATGTGCAAGAATTTTTCCATGTGAATGTGCCTTGTATTTTAATGACCCTAAAAAGGTTGATTCTTCCCCTGACTTATAGATAAATGCTATTTACCCTGCTTCACTCCCTCAAACCAAGATAAAGTAACTAGAGATGAGAACCTGACTTCTCATCCTATTTAAATTCTAATTGTAATACCTATTTTGTCATGTCCCAAGAAGCATGGAAAAATACTAATCTAAAACTTTACAACAATTTCACAGCAGGACCACTTACCTTAATCACTTATGAGCATCTCCATCCTCTTACTGGTATATCCCCTGGGTTTAGGATGGGACAGAGGACAGCTTTATTATATCAAAGGAACATTACTTTAAGCAAGGTACATACTAGTAAGTGCTTACTAATCTTCACTAACATTTTCCTTGTATGGTATCCTGCTGGGCACTCCAATGTTCCAACACGATCAGTTTGGTTATTCTGGTAACATGCCAGTTGGAAATCTGGAATTTTAGCCTTGGACACTTTGTAGGTCTGCTGTGATTCAGGCTGTGAGCTTTTACAGTTTATTCGGGATATTTCCAGCTAGGAAGTAGGGGAGCACCCTCAGGTCAGAATAAGCCATTGTAAGGGATTTTTTAAAGTTTATTTTCTATTGTGGTAAAATATACATAACATAAAATTTGCCATTTTAACCATTCTAAATTGTACAATTCAGTGACAATAAGTGCATTTTAAAAGTTGTGCAATAATCAGCATCATCTCCAGAACTTCATCATCCCTAACTGAAACTCTGTCCCCATCTATAATAATAAAATGATAATTAGACTGGGTGTCCTTCCAGATGTCCTTCCAGACGTCCTTCTGGATGACCTTCTGGACAAAGCTGGGGCTGCGAGGGAAGCCCGGGTCCTGGGGGAAGGAAGGCCTACTCTTGCACAAATTTCATGCATCGGGCCTCTCGTTATATAATAAGGCCCTATTCTCCCCTTCCCTCAGCCCCTGGCAACCACCATTCTACTTTCTGTCTCTATGAATTTGCCTGTTCTAGGTACCACGTATAAGTGGAATCATAGCACCAGCTAACAGAACTTAAGGGCCATTCTACAGTATAAAAGTCTTCGCTAAAATTATTCTTGTTTTGATAGAAAGGGATAATAAAGAGCCAGAGAATTCTGGGAGACTGCAAGTAGAAATGGAGTGGTATAGATGGCAGTATTGAAGAGGATGATGGTCCCTGGAGAAGCCAGATGCTGGAGACACCAAAGACAGACCTTGTCTTGTGTCTGTACTTATACTCAGTTTCATGAGAAAATAAC